GCAATTAGCCATGTAACTGACACAGGACCAGGCTTGGCTGAATTGCTGCTGGGATTTCTCTGTTCCTAGGCACTGGTCCTTTAAAAGTTTGTTGAGCATTTAATCCATCCAAGTAAGTAGCTGCCATCTAAAGAAAGATAATGGATCTGTCCTTGTTAATTCTTAAGCATAGATCCCAAGAGTGTCCTGGAGTTTAATAAAGAGCCAGACATTAGGTACTGCTGGAGAGAAGCAGCCAGAAATAAGAAGAGATGTGGCTCTAACCTAAAACTCCATTCTTTAGTGAAGAATGCTCTTTAACTGCCTCAGTTTTCAGAGCAACAGCATCAGATGCCTCTCTCTTACCATTTTGTCCTTCCCCAAAGTCCAAAAAGTGTATAGCTATTGTTTCTAAGGAATCTTCAGGCAATAGATGATGATGAGATAGAGTAATTTATTTGGTATACTAAGTGAAAAAAAAAAAAAGAGTTCTGCATTAGGGTACAATTTATAAATATTCATGAAGATGTAGAATAAGGTACTTACTTGCATATTCCATTTCCAAGTTCCTTAGATAGAAAATGAAGAGTCTATACATCCTAAAAATCATGTATTGAATAGGAATGGTTTCAGCTGCAAGTACCTAATAGTAGCTTAAACTATGTGAACACTTGTAACACAAGAAATGTAGAATTAGGACTGTTTCACCAGTTAAGCAAGTTTATCAAGGACCTAGATTCTTTCTACCTCTCTTCTGCACCAGTTTTAGCTTTTACCATGTAATCCTCGTGCTTGTTGCCTCACTATTGGGGGATGAGAAAGAAAGAAGAGATAGCACCAAGAACTCTCCTCTTCTAGCTTTCTCTTTTGTAAGGACACCAAAGCTTTCCCAGAATTGCTGTCCTCCACCCCACCCCCAGTGGATTTCAGTGTCTCATTGTCCTTAGCTGTGTGACAGGTACATAGTGGCTAGAAAAATGAATATCTGGCTTTTCAGCCTTTATAGTGGGAGGCAAGCAAGAGAGAATGGTTGAAAATGGGGGGGTTGGGTTAAGGAAGCAATTGTGTTTTCTTCAAACCTATTGCCTCTTCCCTTTCTTTCTAATGAAGGGGTGCTTCATTATCACCCCTTCCTCCCAAGCTTTCCCGTTAAGCAAGGCATTAACTGACAACAATCTTTTCAGGACCAGAGACTTGATAACCCATACAGATTTCTAGTTTTAAAGTCATTGAAGACAAGGCTGGCGCCGTAGCTCATGTCTGAAATCCTAGCACTCTGGGAGACTGAGGTGGAAGGATTGCTTGAAGTCAGGCGTTAGAGACCAGCCTGAGCAAGAGCAAGACCCTGTCTCTACTAAAAATAGAAAGAAATTAGCTGGGCAACTAAAAATAGAAAAAATTAGCTGGGTGTGGTGGCACATGCCTGTAGTCCCAGCTACTTGGGAGGCTGAGGCAAAGAGGATCACTTGAGCCCAGAAGTTTGAGGTTGCTGTGAGCTGGGCTGATGCCAAGGTACTCTAGCAACAAAGCAAGACTCTGTCTCAAAAAAAAAAAGTCATTGAAGACAGAATTTAATTTATGGCCTCACTAAAAAAAAAAGTCATAAGAGAAATTATTAAAAGGAGAGAAGAAGAAAGAGAAAAGAATTATACTTACTACTGTATTGTGATACTTGGGAATCACATAGCAGAAGTTGAGATGACCAGGACTTGTGTAAAATTTAAACCTGTGATAAGATTATAATTCTCAATCCCATCAAATAATAAGCAACATTTAAAGACAAAGAAACTTAACCTTTTCTAACCTAAACTGATAAGAAATTATATTTACCACCTTCTTTCCTACATTGTCCAATCCCTGATGGAGTTGGCCTATATAACCTTTGGAGCTCCATTTCCTTTTTGCTGTGATTTATTGGGCACCTGCAACTTACTTGGCACAAGAAACCACCCATGGGGCTCATGAATTTTCACATTTGTCATAAACAGGAGGATGGAACAAGGAACAAAAATAGAAACAAGTTGTGAGGTATGGCTGAGTACTTAAAACTTATGCTACTTAGAGGAATGGTTATACCATTGGTCTGCATGATGTAGAATAATGCATTAATATTAATCCTTGATCATAATGATGAAGACCCAACATTTCAATGTTAACTATGGCTTTAATTCTTTTTCCGGTTCCCCTCTCACTGCCTTATTGACTTGATTATAACATACCTTTTACTCTTGTCAGATACTGAAGGGTATACTATTTCTTTTTATTTTAATTTTTTTTAGAGACCACGTCTCTCTCTCTTGCACAGGCTGGAGTGCAGTGGCACAGTCATAGCTCACTGCAGCCTCAAACTCCTGGGCTGAAGTGACTAATTTTTTTATATATGTTGTAGAGACAGGGCCTAGCTATGTTGCCCAGTCTGGTCTCAAATGCCTGGCCTCAGGCAGTCCTCCCACCTAGACCTCCCAAAGTGCCCAGCCCCAGGGTACACTTTATTAAAGGAGGAATCCAATTCTTGACACTGCTTGACACCTATGGAATGCTGACTTTCTGCCCATAAAATTCAAGTAATTGGGATCCTAAAAGAAAATGCTCAAAAGGATATGGTTAAAATTATCACTAGTGGTTTGGAGAATGAAGAAAGAACTTAAAAGGGTGCTATTTATTAGGTGATATTTTTTACACAGGGCATTTTAGTTGGTAATAAAATTCAGTGATGAAGTCACATACCCTAAGAAAGTAAATTGAACCACAAAAACATGGCACCAGTATCCTTTCATACAAAAGCAGTATAACTGTAACATACTGAAATTGTCTTAGGTGCCTTTCTGTAATAAAGGGAATCTGGTGTCAAACAAAATAGGGACGGCGATGCACTCATTCTCATTTATTAGTATGATGAAATTTACTTTAGAAACGGAGTTGGAAAGCCATCAGATCTTTCTGAAAGTGTGCCCTGTTAAAGGTTTGGAATCAAAGAGTGCTAAGGTTTTTCAACAGTTATTCGCATACCATTATATAAAATTTTACCCAGTCACTGAAGCAAGAATTTACTGAGCATCTATGCTCACACCGGGCCAAGCCCAGAGATGGGGCAGGTATGGAGGTTAAAGAATAAATGTAGGACACATTTTTAATTCTCTAGTGGTGTACAGTTTACCTTAAAAAGATAAAACTATGAGACCATAATTACGTGATGCAAACCATTTGAGTACTATGCAGACTCAGGAAAGATAGACCACTGAAGATTAGTCATTAGAGAAGCTTTCAAAAACCTTGAAAAATGGCAGAATTTAGAAAAGCAAGGGAGAGAGGAAAGCATGCCAGGAAATAGGAGGACATGTGTTTAGGCACAAAATTGAAAACAAGGAGACTTTATAAATCAGTAAGAGACTAACCTGGGTCAAAGTGTTAGTAGAAGAATAGGAAAAACTAAAGTCACAAACATACAAGGGGACCAGAAAGATGATGCATTTTATATATGTTTAAAATTTTGGGGGCCCCAACTATTTAATATGGAGGCGGAGGTTGGTAGGCTGGAACTGATATTCCAGAAAGCTGACTCTCATTTGGATTACATTCAGTACAGGCTGGAATATGCAATCAAGATTAATAATCCTGATTCAGCAGGCAAGCTGACACCAGTGACTGAAGAAGAGAAAACTGCAGCAGAGCAATTAAAATTTCATATGCCAGACTTATGAAGAAATGGACTTCCAATAGGGAACTCCAATTGAGAAGAAATCAATTCCATGGCTCACATGGTTTAAAAAAAGTGTTGCTGCCCACTACGTCTAAGTCCAAATGCCTGCTATTGAAGAATTTCTTTCTAGATTGTTAATGATTCTCTACATGTGCACTCTAGGTTAAGTATAAGAAGTAGTTGCTTGCAATAAATAGAAAGGAGAAATTAAATTCAAATTAAGAATTTGATGTACGTCCTTGGTCTCACACCTTCAATAATGCATTCTTTATACATCTCTTCTGGAAGGAAAATTGTAGAAAGCAGATCCTCATTATAGGAAAGCTGAATACAGCTGATACCCTTTTGCCCTTTCAATAAGTCCATGGCTACAGCTCAACTCAAGTGGCAAGAAATGAAGGATGGGGTGTGGGTCTGACATCTTAACAGTCTGTGGGGCCCATTCTTTTTTTTTTTTTTATCTTTTAAAAAAAATTTTTACTTGTAAAAAAAAAATTGGGGGGCGGGTGTGGTGGTTCACGCCTGTAATCCTAGCACCCTGGGAGGCCGAGGCGGGTGGATTGTTTGAGCTCAGGAGTTTGAGACCAGCCTGAGCAAGAGCGAGACCCTGTCTCTACTAAAAATAGAAAGAAATTAATTGGCCAACTAAAAATACATAGAAAAAATTAACCGGGCATGGTGGCACATGCCTGTAGTCCCAGCTACTCAGGAGGCTGAGGCAGAAGGATTGCTTGAGCCCAGGAGTTTGAGGTTGCTGTGAGCTAGGCTGACGCCACGGCACTCTAGCCCAGGCAACAGAGTGAGACTGTCTCAAAAAAACAAAAAAAAATCCACCTACCCCCAGAGTCAAGAAATTCTTTCTAATGATTTAAATCCCCCTTGCTACCATCTTAGCTTTTTCCTGTTGTTATAATTTTTGAAACACTATTAGTTTCTTACTCTAATCTCCTCACATGAGGGGAGGGTATTCTTGGTACTGACTGGGCCCAGCCTCTGGTTCCATAGGAAAGAGTTGGTGTTTAAGATTCCAACTGTCCTTTTGGATATGAATAATGAAATTCTCCCATCATTGAGCAAGAGCTTTGTGGATTGAGGATGCTTTGTAGCACTTTAGTGAGATGTGCTAGTTGACATTTATTCAGCTAATATTTATTATGCACCTATTACATACAGATACAGTTCTAGCTGTTTGGGATATGTCCACAAGCAAAACAGAGATTCTTACTCTTGAGTTTGCCATTGCTTCATGGACAGAACAGCTTTCTTTTATTACAGTATCTAACGCATATTTTGAGACAGAAAATAGTATGAAAAAGGCATAGAATTTTTTCACAAGATGGCGCCAAAGGCGAAGAAGGAAGCTCCTGCCCCTCCCAAAGCCGAAGCCAAAGCAAAGGCTTTGAAGGCCAAGAAGGCAGTGCTAAAAGGCGTACACAGCCACAAAAAAAAGAAGATCTGAACGTCACCCACCTTCCGTCACCCACCTTCCGGCGGCCGGCCAAAGACATTGCGGCTCTGGAAGCAGCCCAAATATCCTCGGAAGAGCGCCCCCAGGAGAAACAAGCTTGACCACTATGCCATCATCAAGTTCCCCTTGACCACAGAGTCTGCCATGAAGAAGATAGAAGACAACAACACACTTGTGTTCATTGTGGATGTCAAAGCCAATAAGCACCAGATCAAACAGGCTGTGAAGAAGCTCTATGACATTGATGTGGCCAAGGTCAACACCCTGATCAGGCCTGTTGGAGAGAAGAAGGCATATGTTCGACTGGCTCCTGATTATGATGCTTTGGACATTGCCAACAAAATTGGGATCATCTAAACCGAGTCCAGCTGGCTAATTCTAAATTATATATCTCTCACCTTTAAAAAAAAAAAAGGCATAGAAAACCTGAGAAACTATGGGTTTTCTAACAGCAGTGTGGCTGCTAGACCAAATAATGTCTCTGTTCTCAAAATTCCTTTTTTTTTTTTTTTTAATTTTTAAGGGGTTAATACAGTTGTATCAAAATCCTTTTTTAATGCAATGGATTAATTTTTTCAGCTGCCAGAATCTTCTCTTTAAGATATTCAAACAGCCTTCCCAAAACAGAAAATTCCTCAATCCATACACAAATGAATTTACCTTAGGTACAATTTGGTGGGGTTTTTGCCCCACCTTCATTCCTCTGACAACATTTTCTCTTAGAATATTTTGGGGAAAAGTTTCCTGTTCTTATTTTCGTCTATAATTACCTTGCTCACACATGCAGCATATGAGCTACTGCTGGTATGGTTGTATTTTTTTGTGCAAACAATCCTGTACTTTGAAATGATTCATTCAAGAGCCATGAAGCATTCAAAGCAGGATGTGTGACTCACTTAGTAAATAGCAGCATCTTGAAATAGAGAGCAGGAGCCTAGGATGACTAAGGTAGAAAAGAAGTTATGTGCTTGAGGTATATGTATGTGTGTATTTAGTCCCTTCCTTCTTCTTCCTTCCCTACTTCCCAAACTTAAATGCACTGTAAATAGAAGCACTTGAAGTGAGAGATGCTTTGTCAAGACTGTTGCAGATCTTCCAGGTTCTTTCAGAGTACGTGATCAATTGAAGTGATTAAAAAGTGTTCAAAAGCCGTGGTGCTCACGCTGTAATCCTAGCACTCTGGAGCGCGAGGCGGCAGATTGCTCGAGGTCAGAAGTTTGAAACCAGCCTGACCAAGAGTGAGACCCGTCTCTACTATAATAAAAATAATAATAATATAATATATATATAGTTTTATATATATATATATATATAGTATATATATAATTAGCCAGGCCCTGTAGTCCCAGCTACTCGGGAGACTGAGGCAGTAGGATTGCTTGAGCCCAGGAGTTTAAGGTTGCTGTGAGCTAGGCTGACGCCACGGCACTCACTCTAGCCTGGGCAAAAAAGTGAGACTCTGTCTCAAAAAAAAAAAAAGTGTTCAAAAAAGTTCAGTTATTCTTTCAACTACCTGCTCAACAGGTAAAGTTGAGTTCAGTTATTCTTATATTCTTTTATTCAGAATATATTCTTTTTTTTTTTTTTGAGACAGAGTCTCACTTTGTTGCCTAGGCTAGAGTGAGTGCCATGGCGTCAGCCTAGCTCACAGCAACCTCAAACCCCTGGGCTCAAGCAATCCTTCTGCCTCAGCCTCCCAAGTAGCTGGGACTACAGGCATGCGCCACCATGCCCAGCTAATTTTTTCTATATATATTAGTTGTCCAATTAATTTCTTTCTATTTATAGCAAAGACGGGGTCTCGCTCTTGGTCAGGCTGGTTTCAAACTCCTGACCTTGAGCAATCCGCCCGCCTCGGCCTCCCAGAGTGCTAGGATTACAGGCGTGAGCCACCGCGCCCGGCCCAGAATATATTCTTTTATTCAGAATAAAAGTTCAGTTATTCTTTCAACTACCTACTCAACTACAGTATCACTATATTCTAGAGCTTGCTCCCCATAATGTCTTGAGTTTTCTATGACTTTTTTGTACCATCTTCTTTCTCAAAATGTGTCCAGTAGAGACACTGTAGTAATAGAAAGCTGTTCTGTCCATGAAGCACAGTGAAATCCAGAAACTTTGGAGAAAGGAGTAGTTTCTAGCATAAATGAATTTTCAGACTATCACAAATATAAACATAATTCCTTGCATTGTGTCTTGATAGTTTAGGCATTCAGGGTTCATTTCCTAATAACTAACGAGTTCTGCTGTCTCCTTCCCTCAGTCTACTATTCTAAAACAATAAAAGGGACATGAATTCAGCATAGGTCAGGATATAAGAGTGTTTTAAAATGTGAGGCAAATCCACACAGAAACTGGAGCTGTAGTGGCCAAAAACAGCATTTCAGGAATGAATCTGGCTAGGAGTTGAGTGCATATTGCACAAAAATTTTACTGGTCACAATGCTTTACCAAGGATTTAACTTAAAATGGTTACGTTCTTAATGCCCATATGTTTGTGCCTGGCTCAAAGTCAAATGGCAAAAATTTAGCTTTAGTTTATCCCAAGCTCTTATTTGCCTCTTTTCAGTTCTGTTCAGTGCTGTTGTTTCAAAATACTTCCAAGAGACTAGGCTAAATGAGATTAGGAAAACAACTACCGTGTCTCTAAACCTCGGCAAAGAAAAGTTACTTTTTTACTATAATACCTAATGAGATTAATAAAGGTAAAGAAGGGAGAACTAGCTGAATACACGCTGCACGCCAGGTACTATACTGTTTCATATAATTATTTCTTTTCAAATGTTAAGAAAAGAGGGGTGTGAGGGAGCCTTCTAGGGTGTCTATAATGTTTTTGTTGTTGTTGTTTTAAGACAGAGTCTCACTTTGTTGCCTAGGCTAGAGTGAGTGTCGTGGTCTCAGCCTAGCTCACAGCAACCTCAAACTCCTGGGCTCCTCCTGCCTCAGCCTCCCGAGCAGCTGGGACTACAGGCATGCGCCACCATGCCCGGTTAATTTTTTCTATATATATATATTAGTTGGCCAATTAATTTTTTTCTATTTTTAGTAGAGACGGGGTCTCGCTCTTGGTCAGGCTAGTTTCGAACTCCTGACCTTGAGCAATGTGCCCTCCTTGGCCTCCCACAGTGCTAGGATTACAGGCGTCAGCCACTGCGCCCAGCCTGTCTATAATGATTTGTATCTTGATCTGGGTGATGATTACACAGCTATATACTAATATAAGAATCATTGTGATGTACACTTAAGATTTGCACTAAGGGAGGGGGGACATGGGCAATATATGAAACTTTAACACTTGTATCCCCATAATATGCTAAAATTAAAAAAAAGATTTGTACATTTTATTTATGTTATACCTCAATCTTAAAAAATTAAAAATCTTAAGATTTCATTCATTGAGATTTATTCCTTACTTATGGTTTCTACTGTCTTTGTTCTTCAGGCTCTTCTTAATTCTTTACTTAGCTCTGTTCATTTTGTCAGCTTCCTGGAGGAAGGATTCCAGATTCTCCTACTACAGAAGGATGAGTGACAGTGGAACTTTCTAGAAATGGAAAGGGTTTTTACCAATGGTGTTTCACCGACTTTTCCTTTTTTTTTTTTTTAAATAAACAGAGTTTCACTATATAGCCCAGGCTGATTGCCATCTCCTCACCTCAACCAGTCCTACTGCCTCAGCTTCCTAAATAGCTGGGACTATAGCCACATACCCAGTTCCCATGGAAAATGAATTGTTAATAAGAAACTATACTTTCCTTGTCCATTCTGCAACTAATACCAGTTTTCACATTGACTTCTTCATAGTCCTGTCATTCCGTGTCCTTTTTAATTTAAATTATTAATTTATTTTTTTTTAGATACAGGGTCTCTTTTCTGTCACTTAGGCTAGAATACAGTGGCATCATTATAAATCACCATAACCTCAAACTCCTGGGCTCAAGCAATCTTCTAGCTCAGCCTCCCAAGTAGCTGGGACTGTAGGCATGTGCCATCACAACGAGCTAATTTATTTACTTATATATTTATGTATGTATGTATTTATTTAGAGAGGTCTCACTATTGCCCAGGCTGGTCTCAAACTCCTAGCCTCAAGCAGTCCTCCCACCTTGGCCTTCCAGAATGCTGGGATTACAGGCCTGTGCTATGACTCCTGGGTTATGCTTCCTAACATTTTTTAAACTAAGAAAAGCTCCATTCTTTTTTTTTTTTTTTTTTTTTTGAGACAGAGTCTCACTCTATTGCATGGGCCAGAGTGCTGTGGCATCAGCCTAGTTCATAGCAACCTCAAACTCCTGGGCTCCAGCAATCCTTCTGCCTCAGCCTCCCAAGTAGCTGGGACTACAGGTACGCACCATCATGCTCGGCTAATTTTTTCTATATATATTTTTAGTTGTCCAGCTAATTTCTTTCTATTTTTAGTAGAGACAGGGTGTTGCTCTTGCTCAGGCTGGTCTCTAACGCCTGAGCTCAAACGATCCACTCGCCTCGGCCTCCCAGGCTAGGATTACAGGCGTGAACCACCATGACCAGCTAAAAGCTCCCTTATTGATATATATTTTTTTCTCTATTAGGGAAATAAAATCAGAAGTTGCCAAAATTGTTTTGATTAGCTTCTTCTGTATGATCTCTTTGTTACTAACAAGGCAATGCATGAGAATTCCATTTAATCTATTCTCCCAATTACAGGGCCTTCTGTCTCCATCTTAATTTCTCTATCCTAAGTATTTGCAGATCTGTAGTACATCAGCCATTTTATGAAATGAGGTTGGAAGTTTTCTGCCTGTGCTTTTTTCCTTCCAAGTTTTAGGTCCAAAAGCATGTGTTGGCAGTTTGGCAAGGGAAACTAAAAAACAGCCTTTTTTCTTATTTCTTTCTCTTTTTCCCTGTTACTCTGTAGCAGGGCTTCTCAACAGAGACAATAATTGACATTTTCAGTTGGATAATTCTTTGTTTTGGGAGACTGTCCTATGCATTATATGATATTTACCAGCATCCCATACCTCTACCCTATAGAGGACAGTAGCATCCCCCCAGATGAGAAAAGCATAAATGTCTCTAAACATTGCCAAATGTCCCCTGAGGGGCAGAGTTGCCCTTGATTGAAAACCACTGCCATGTAGTATAAATTGCATTTAAAGAAAGTGATTTGGAGGGCAAAGATTCAAGATCAGCACATGATTAAAATTCCCAGGGGATCTTTGAGCATATTATCTAGTTTAGAGCTGTCCAAAAGAAATATAATGCAAACCACAAATGTGAGCCACATAGGTAATTTTAAATTTTTTAGTGGCTACATTAAAAAGTGAAAGTAAACAAATGAAATTAATTTTAAAGTTATATCCCAGTATATCCAACATAGTATCATTTTGACATGTAATCAACATA